TTCTTTTTCTTTCTAATTTTTTTTATCTTCCGATGTTTATTTTTTTAGGGATGCTGGAATATTTGTTAGATGTTTCCCCTGTTCATGTTAACCTGCATTTTATTTATTTATTTATTATCATATCTGCTATTATTAGTTTTTCCAGTTGGAGATTGACTTCTGCACCACCTTTTTATATTTGCATTATTATTATTATTATTTTCATATGATTCTCAAAAGCGAACCTTCTAGGAGTTTTCCCTGCCTTGCTTTTCCTTGTAATGGTAGTTATAAGCTGCTCTGCCTGTATTATAAGTAAACTTGCCTTCCTTATTTTCCTTGCAATTCTGTAGATCCCAGAAAGCACTGCATTTCTGTGGTAGCGATGAGTAAAAGGACAGCCCATGAAGCCTTCTCTTCGACCTCATCATCCTCCTCCTCAAAACGTTGGATGCATGATGTCTTCTTGAGCTTCAGAGGTGATGACACACGCAAAGGCTTCACAGGCCACCTCTACATGACACTGAAAGAGGCCGGAATCAATGCTTTTATTGACAACCAGCTAAGAAGAGGGGAAGAAATAACAGCGGAATTGGTGCAGGCAATCCAAGGGTCCAGGATCTCTGTCGTAGTCTTCTCAAGGAGATATGCTGATTCCAGCTGGTGTCTTGAGGAGCTGGTAAAGATCATGGAGTGTAGAAGAACACTTGGGCAAATAGTTTTGCCAATATTCTATGATGTTGATCCTTCGGATGTCAGGAAACAGACTGGTATTTTTGCAAAAGCAATGAAGAAACATGAGCGATCCAATAAAGATACAGAAAAGGTAAAGGTAGTGAGGTGGAGAGCTGCGCTTACTGAAGCTTCAAATTTATCTGGCTGGGATCTTAGAAACACTGCATATGGGTAAATAATTGCTAATCTTCTTTTACTGCAGGCTATTCTTTTTTTTTTTTTTTTTTTTTTTTTTTTTTTTTCTGGGTTGATTAGATTTCACCCTATATGAAACTCTTTTCTTATAGATTTTAACGTATTGACTACACAATTCTAGCTAATTTTAACATGGGGCTGACTCATCATGCTTAGTATGGAAATTCCTTGACTTGGCAATTAATTATAAGGATAAATTCACCAAGAAGAAAGATATTCTGGGTTTTTATTAGAAAAAGGATGAATAAAAAGTCTTTTCTTATGACCCTTTTTTATATATAACCATTTATTATTATTTTTAATTCCTGTTTATACTTTCAGGCAATAAGTTACATTAGGGGGTCTAAATAGCTTACACCCTTTACTAAAATATTTTTCTCTAGGATTCAGTTTAATCTGGCAGTGCTTCTAAATTTAATTGACAGGACTGAAGCAGAGTTTATCAGAAAAATTACCGAGGAGATCACTACACAATTCGACAGGACATACTTAAATGTAGCTGTCTACCCAGTTGGAATAGATTCTCGTGTGAAAGAGATTAGTATTTACTTAGATGTTGAATCATATGATGTTCGCATGCTTGGAATTTGGGCTATGGGTGGAATGGGGAAAACATCAGTTGCAAAAGCCATTTATAATAAATTTTATCATAGATTTGCATATAAGAGTTTCCTTGCAAACGTTAGGGAAACTGCAAAGGAATCAAATGGTATGCTGAGTTTGCAAAACAAACTTCTTTCTGATATCTTCAAACAAACCAAGATGGAGGTAAGTGACGTAAATAGAGGGGTCAATGTGATAAAAGAAAGACTTCGATGCAGAAGCGTACTTATTGTAATTGATGATGTAGATCAATTGGACCAACTAAATTCATTAGCTATAAACCGTGGCTCCTTTGGTCGAGGAAGTAGAATTATTATAACCACAAGAGATCGACACTTACTAGAGCACCTTGAAGTGAATACGATATATCTGGCTCGAAAAATGAATGAAGAAGAAGCTCTTCAACTCTTTAGTTGGCATGCCTTTAGAAATCGTTGTCCTAATGAAGGATATTTTGAAATCTCAAGAAGTGTTCTTGCTTACTGTGGAGGTTTGCCACTAGCAATTGAAGTTTTAGGTTCTTTTCTGTTTAAAAGGAGCATAAGGGATTGGACAAGCACATTGGAGAAATTGGAAAAAAATCCTCACTTCGAAATTCAGGAAAAACTTAAGATAAGCTTCGATGCACTGAGTGATGAGAACGAGAGGGATATATTCCTTGATATATCTTGTTTCTTTATAGGAGTTAACAAGAACTATGTCACAAAGATATTGGATGGTTGTGGTTTTTTCGCGGAAATAGGAATTAGTGTCCTTCTTGAACGGTGCCTTGTGACCGTTAATGAGAAAAACAAGCTCATGATGCATGATTTGATTCGAGACATGGGCAGAGAAATCGTGCGGGCAAAATTCCCTAAATACCCTGGAAAGCATAGTAGATTGTGGCACCAAGAAGATGCAACAGATGTATTGACAAACAAATCTGTAAGTACTTTCCCAATCAGACTTAATTTTATGTTAATAACATGTGATACAAGAGAAGCACAGCTGCACAGGTATCCCACGTATATCTAATGGTACAATGCAAGGCTCTAGTACACGAAATCATTACATTGCTCTATATCATTACATGTAACATCTACAGTTGCAGCTAATTAGGTTCAATTGTACCAAACAAAGCTCAATTGAGAAAAATCAACAAATACAATGCTCTGATTGGCAAAACCCATACTGTAACAGGTCATAAGAAAGTATAAATGGGATGACTGTGTTTCATAGAACAATGCTATATCATATACCTCTCATGTGGTTTATACATGCATTCATTACTCTGCTACATGTGTGTATATATAAATCAATGTTTTTCACATGCATTCTTCTTACTCGGTGCCTTTTGTTAACAGGGAACTGAAAAAATTGAAGGACTCGCTCTAAAATTGCTAAGATCTGACAACACTATTTTCAGTGTGAAAGCATTTATAAGGATGAAGAGACTAAGATTGCTCCAACTTAATCATGTGCAGCTCACTGGGGACTACAAATATCTTTCCAACAAGTTAAGATGGCTTTGCTGGCGTGGATTCCCTCTAGAGTTCATACCAGAAGATGTCTTCAAGCACTTAATAAACCTGGTTTCTATTGATCTACGGTATAGCAATCTCATACAGTTTTGGGAGCATTCCAAGGTGTATAACCAAGCTGTTAATCTTTTCCTTCTGATTTTATACCTAGAATCACACCCTTATTCTCTTCTTTTTGGATTTTGATTTGTGTTTTCTTTTGGTCTTGTCTAACAGTTGATTGGGACGTTGAAGATTCTTAATCTCAGTCATTCACATTACCTAACACAATCCCCAGACTTTTCAAAACTCCCAAATCTCGAGTATTTGATACTCAAAGACTGTAAGAGCTTGTCCCAGGTTCACCACTCCATTGGACATCTTGAAAGACTTGTTCTGGTGAATCTCAAAGACTGCATAATGCTTAAAGATCTTCCGGATAGTTTCTATGAGTTGAAATGTCTTGAAACTCTTGTTCTTTCTGGCTGTTCAAGATTTGAGAACTTGGGAGAGGACATAAGGGAGATGTTATCATTGACAACTCTTCTTATAGATGGCACAGCCATAAGAGAAGTACCATATTCTTCCATAGTACGACTGACGAACCTGACGTGTTTATCTCTACGTGGCCTGAAACTTAAAGAGCCCAATCCTTTCATTAATCCTGTGGTATTGCCAAGAATATATCCTCCTCTATTACAGGGCTCAACTTCTAATACAGGATTTCTTCAACTTGGCAATTCATTAAGAGAAGTAAATATAATGACCAATTGCTTTTACATCCTTCCAAGGGCTCGCACCATAAGCCATTCCCCAAACCTTGTTGAGTTTCCAGGATTGGATGAGTTACTAAACTCCCCAATGTTGATCGCACAGGAACGGTCCACCAATATCACTTCCACTCTTAAGAAGAGCATCCCACAGGTTTCTCTCTCTCTCTCTCTCTCTCTCTCTCTCTCTCTCTCTCTCATGATACACACATATTTCTCATACATCTTGCTTGACTTGGTATAGGGACAGACTGCGAGCAACAATGGTGGCATTGTTCTCCCTCGAAACAATATACCGAAGTGGTTCATGAATGTCAATGATGAGGGTGACCGAGTCCATTTTCGAGTGCCTCAAAATACTGGTTCTAATTTGAAAGCGTTGACTGTGTGCGTCGTTTATTCTTCTTGTTTAGACAATGACACATCTCTGGATCGTTTTTCTATTTTTGTTATAAATCATACCAAGCTCATCAGCTTTGTCGTCCGTCCAATGGATCCCTATGCAATAACTTCTAATGAAGTTATTTGGCAAGGACATTTATCAAACAATGAGCTCAATTTCCAAGGGGGAGACTCCATTGAGGTTTACATTGTAATTGGATGTGGTTTCAGGGTGAAGAAAACAGGGGTCCGTCTAGTATGGGATCCTGACTTTACCAATGAAAATATGATTGAGTCCGAGTCTATCCCATATGCTTATTTTCTTAGTGATGATCAGGACAGTGAAAGAACTAAGGGGTGGCTTGGCTGGGCTCTAGCCCACATCAAGAAATAATTCCTTTTAGTTGTCCTCATTCCGTCTCTGGCTGAGGGCTGAGGGCTGAGCTCCCAAATTATTGAGGTCTGATCCCAATGAGTACAGATGAAGAACTAGCAGAGAAAGAAAGCTGATGCAATCATGCAAGTATGGAGGAACAACTAGCAGTGTGAAAAGGGAAAAGGTTAGACAAACTGAACTTGAGCCATTTATTTTGGCACCAAAAATATTGTGCATAATTGATGGACACCGCTTGCCTCCTTTCTTGGTAGGAGACATTCCTCCTTGCAATCAAATCACAAAATACATGCAAAAATAATTTATCAAAAATACAAAAAGAAAAATGTCAGCACGCATATCAGATAATGATTGACAGGAAAGGAGGCAAGTAATTTCCATGTTTGATCAACAAGCATATGCATACAGCAGCCTTATTGTCTAATTTTGCCTGTAATTAATCATTGTAGTAGAATAAATCTGCTAAAATATGTATTTATTTATGTCACATGAAAAGGCAATAAAATTTTGTCAGTTGTGTAATTTTCTTACACCTACTATAGTTTTTTGATTGCAGGTGAATTCAGAGAAGTTGGATCATATTCGACTACGGAGAGGATTAATTCCGTTAACTTTGATTGTAGGGGTTATGGCTCTTTTTGTTCTTTTAGGTTTCTAATTATTTTTAAACTGGGGCTTAATTTCTTTTCTTTCATCATTCTAAATTTTTGGATATTTTTTTATAAGATAAAGTGTATGGGAATATCTAAGCAAATTAATTTTGTTTTAAAAAGAATAGTCAAAAAATTTGAGAGGTAAAATGTAGTTTAGTCACAAGTGCAAACAGAGTAAAGAAAGGCAGAAACTAGAGGAGAAAGCCATGAGAGATTTCTCTCTCCAATCAGAATCCCGCAAATATATATATATATATATACATGTACAAATTTATGGAAATTCACCTAGCTCAAGTAAAAATTTAGGAGCCTCTATTGTTCGACTCAAACTACAAAACTACAACAAACAGCTGGTTGAGGCAAAAGGATTACATCCTAAGTCAAAGGAGTTTAAGGTGTAAGAGGCAGCAGCGCCAACCCACAGTGCGCCAAGTTAATCGTCTTCTTCTACACCAATGCCTCTTTGAAAGATAAACACGCTGTTGGTCCTTTTTCCCGTGAACACTCCTTTTGATGGTTTGATGACTTGGATCTGATTGCTCTGCAGAGTGAGGGGGTTGTTGGATCAACACCAATGCCCCGATTGGAATTTTGGCTAGCGAAGAGGATTCTTTCAGCTTCTGAACAAAATTAACAATTGGATCAAGTTGACAGGAACGAGCGGGCTCGGGCTGGGTCCTATCGGCTTGTTCCTCCTATCCTGATCGAGAGTTGCATAGGCGTGCCACTATTGGGTGTAAGACCAGCCCAATAGACCTGGTGTGAGTGGTGTAGTATGTTGATTTGTTGTGTTTGCACTTATTCTGAACTTTTGCTCAAGCCATTGTGCTCTAAGGGAGGTACTGGCCTGGATGAGTTCTTTTCTATGCCTCAATCAAGAGGACTTCAATATTCTTTCATTTATGTGTGTTGGTCTGATAGATACGAGCAATACCTAATCAAACAAGAAGGGAACCAAAATCGTGGTTAATGATGCCCTATTTGGGTTTAGAAACCTAATTTAAATTCAATTGGCCCTTAGATCGGGTTAATATTCCAGTCAATTAGAGCCCAACAATATAGTTCAAGCCTAAATTAACCTTTTACTTTTAGACTGACAGGGCCCTATTCGGGCCTAGACCTCTGCTTTAGGTCCGAATGATAAATTTAAATAATACGAAGGCGGGAAATTAAATTAATCTATAGAGATATTTAAAATATGTAAAAACAATTAAATAGCAGGTACTTAATGAAACAGTTAAGATAAACTCCGAGGTCTCTTTAGCTGATTTTAACTTGATAACAAGGAACAACAAGAGTTTTGAATTTATCCATTCAACTAATTCAAAATATTGATTACAAAGCAAGGACAAACTGGAGATTTCTCTATCTAGTTAGATGGATACATGAATTCAAATTGATCATTTGAAAGGAATCATACCATGGAGATGACAGAGCAACAAAAAGATGAACACAAGAGTTGTCAACTGGTTATCTGGAAATTAAGCAGGCTTGTTTCAAAAGATCTTGAGTTTTTCAAGTGTCTTCGAGACATTGCGTCTAGATTTTGGAGAGAAAGTCCTTTTCTTCTATTGTGGAGGCTCTTTATTTATAAGTGAGAAGCTTCAATGATGAAAGCTGAAAAAGGATATTTGGCTGCTATCCAAAGTTAGCTATTGATCTGTTGATCTGGATCGGTTCATAAGTGAAAGGATGGAATATCTCTGACAAAATCGCTGGTTTTTCGAGGTGTTTCTCTGACTTGAGTTCTCTGTACCTGGAAATCTGGTTGGCAAATCGACTCCCTTCGGTTCTTGTGGCTTTTATCCTTCGGTTCTTGTGGCTTTTATCCAACTTGCTTTCTTGTTGGGCGAGAATAAGGTCAAGTCATCATTAATGGTGACAATCCTTCTTCAGACCCTCACGTGGGTCTATGTGCAACGGTTACCAATCTTTTTGACTTTAGTATGGTTCAAAGATTTGGGCTCCCTGACGCTGTGGGCTTTCATTAATTTTTCTTATCTATTGACGGCCCAAAAAAAAAAAGATCCCTTTTGTTTTAAAGAATAGAAAAGATATTGGGCTTGGGTTTCACAAATATGTTCCTCGGAGAGATAGACCATTTTTGGCCCATTTGCAAAATATGGTACAAACACACAGCATCATGAAAAATTCATTTGATTCCATTGAAGAGATTTAGAAAAATACAGTTCAACTTTTCATCATCATAAAGAATATTAATCTAAAGTGTAATTAATTTCTATGAAGTTGGTTTCCGAAACACGAATCCAAAAGAATCCCTAAACAGAAACTAAGAGCACTTTTTATATTTATATGTATATGTATGTGTTATGTATTTATATGTATATGTATATGTATATGTTATGCACTAAGAGAGTTGCTCGTTGCTGAGACAAGAAGTTGATCCAATATGTTGGTGAGCTTCCTCCTTTGTGGTGGTGGTGGTGGTGGTGGTGCTATTAACCTTGACAAGCACAAAGCAAAGCTGAGAGTCATGGTTGAGGCGGAATGACCAAAGCTGCACCATCTCATCTTCCTCGAGTTTATTTGCCTTGGCAACCTTTCTCCATCCCGAAACCAGATTGTACACATGGTTGCCTCCCATTTGCCATTTCTTCAGGCGTAAAGAATCGAAGCTCAGATCAGATGGGTTGAGCATCAAAACAGGGATACCAATCAGCCGTTTCTTCTTGTCAGTGTCACGAATATCCAAATCACTCTGCTCCTTTTCCTTAAGAAAGTCTCTGCTTTTGCCCTTAATCCCTGGTATCGAAAATCGAGCATTATTTGCAGACATATCAGACGCACATATCTTCTTCTGGATTACAAGTTTCACATCTCCACCAATTCCACTAATCTTGTGTTTTAGTTCTTGAGGCAACTCTGGTTTTGGCTCCAATTGTTCAGTTTGAACGTGAACCCTTTTCTGCTTCTTCTTTTTCTGGTTCAGATTGTTGTTGTTGTTGTTGTTGTGGAGAAGGTTGTCACTCCCAAAACAATTATGATCATCAGAATATTCTCTCTTCCTTTTAAGAGAAAGAGGGCCAAGTCTACTCCTTTTCTTCTTTGGAATGAAAATGTCATTCAACTCAAACCCTAGCTTGCCTGCCAAAACCCTTTGTTCCCTTCCCTTTCGAGCAAAGAAGTTGATCAACTCTTCAACAACGGTCTTTTCGTCCAAAAGCAACTCCTTTGATTGTCGGGTTGCTACATCAGCCAATAGCTCCAAGGAAGACAGAGTTGAAGATGAAGATGAAGATGCTGATGCCCTTTTCTCTTTCTTGATCGCCATGGCCTTTTTCTCAACATCTTCCTTCCAATGTTTCACATCAACTTCATAAGACTCAAGATTTAGAGAATTTGAAGGAAACCCATCAACCCCAAAATCAATAATCTTCATTTTGCCCATCACTCCCATTGAAACAAACCCACACAAAAACAAATTAAACTCAGAAAAAAGACGAACTTTACTGCTTAGACTGACAGAATGATCAGAAAAACAAGTGGGTTTCCAAAATGTTGAGTGACAGAGAGATCGCTCAACTTCCGAATTGAAGAGAGCGAGCGAGAGAGAGAGAGTTTGCTGTGAATTGAACTGGGTTTCCAAATTATAATGAGAGATACAAGTGGGGGTTTCCTTATATGAAGAGGATTCACGTTGGAGAGAGAGAGTGTGTTTCCAAATCCTTTGTGGTGGTGGTGTTATTATCCTTGAAGGCCAAGCAATTAAACCAACTGGCAAAGCGATTCAAATCTTATTAGGAATCCTAACTATAAGTTGCTTTTCTGCTCTTGCTCTGTTTTCGAACGCTTCTTCTTTCACATGTATTCCACGTTTTATTTATTTTCTTTACTTTTAATGCCTTCAAAATTTTAGAAAAATGACGCAGGTGGTTTGGCTTTTTTTCTTTTTCTTTTTAATTTGATTATTAAAAAAAAAATATTGTTGGAAAATTAAATAAAATTTTAAAATCTACAATTTTTACCTATTTTATTTTTAAAAAAAAATTTACCGCACGTAACGTAAATATAACAGTTAATGCATGTTGCCACTATTTGAGAGACGTATATCCATATGCTACAATATATTATGCATGTCAAGAGTCGCACACAAAGTGGGAAAAAGAAAAGTTGAGATAAAGAGGTAGGATATTAAGCATATTTTCATTTTAAAATAGGAATGATGAGATGAGTAAAACAACATGAATAAAGCACGACTATTCTTATCCTTATTGACCTAATGAAAGTGAGGAAGATTTGTGATTTTGTCGTGCCTTATTATTCTGACTAGCATGTCTCCATGCGTGTTCATGTGTGTGCAAGAGACATTTTCATCTCACACGCTTTTGCGATTTATAAGTCCATAAATGTACTCATTTATGTACTCTTTATACTTAGGTTTTTTAGGAAAATTTGATTTAAAAAAATTAAACCAACTGGCAAAGCGATTCAAATCTTATTAGGAATCCTAACTATAAGTTGCTTTTCTGCTCTTGCTCTGTTTTCGAACGCTTCTTCTCTCACATGTATTCCACGTTTTATTTATTTTCTTTACTTTTAATGCCTTCAAAATTTTAGAAAAATGAAGCAGGTGGTTTGGCTTTTTTTCTTTTTCTTTTTAATTTGATTAGTAAAAAAAATATTGTTGGAAAATTAAATAAAATTTTAAAATCTACAATTTTTACCTATTTTATTTTTTTAAAAAAATATTACCGCACGTAACGTAAATATAACAGTTAATGCATGTTGCCACTATTTGAGAGACGCATATCCATATGCTACAATATATTATGCATGTCAAGGGTCGCACACAAAGTGGGAAAAAGAAAAGTTGAGATAAAGAGGTAGAATATTAAGCATATTTTCATTTTAAAATAGGAATGATCGGATGAATAAAACATCATGAATAAAGCACGACTATTCTTACTAGGTTTTTTCCTTATTTGACCTAATGAAAGTGAGGAAGATTTGTGATTGTGTCGTGACTTATTATTCTGATTAGTTTGTCTCCATGCGCACTTGTGCGTATGCAAGATACATTTTCATCTCACACACGCTTACGATTGATAAGTCCATAAATGTACTAATTTATGTATTATTTAAACCCATATCATATAAATACATCAGTCTCCGGAAAACTGAAAATGAAGAAAATAAAAGTAATAAGTCATCTTTTAAATCAAATTCTCCTAACCGTTAACCGTTAACCGATATGCATGTTGAGCTTCTGTGATGCTCTACACGAAGACGAGTCAAAGGGATTCAATTCAACAGAGATTCTCACACCGTGGAGGTGGGCCCATCCTACGTAGAAGACGTTGAAGTCATCCGATGACGGTTGATTAGGAGCCGTTGATTTCAGTGACCCAAAGACTATATACTATAACTATACAGGGCAGGGCAGGGCAGGGCCGGGCATGGACAGACTTACAGCTGTTTTAAACGTTTTATTCTCCCATAGATTACCCTACAACTTGTAATTTTAACTCTAAATAGACGAATCTTGCCTAAATTGGAAGTAATCATTTTCATTTGTTCTCCCAAACCAAGTAAATATTTATCATCAACAAAGACGAGCAAGAAGCTTGTTAAAGAGAAACTCTTTAAAGAGGAAGAAAACTGAGAAACAGACAAGGTAGGTTGAGAGGAGAAGAATTAGGAAAAATGATCCTTGTCTCAAGCATTGTTTGTGTAACGTTGCTGTTGTTGTTGGCTATGATCAAGATGTTTGAAAAGCTATGGTGGAAACCGACTCGCATACGGAAGCTGATGGCTCTGCAGGGGATCAAGGGCCCTTCTTACAGACTTATCCATGGAAACACCATAGAAATCTCCAACATGAAAAGGGAAGCAATGAGCAGGCCCATGAGCTTATTACATGACAGCTTTCCTCAAGTTCAACCTCACATTCACTTGTGGACCAAGTTATATGGTAAAGAAACCCTTCCCTTCATGCATCTTCAACTATATGGTCAATATTTGTATCTGATATTGCTAACTATTTTTGTATTTTGAAATTGCTTCTGTATCAACAAACTTGTTACACTTTGGAAACAGGGAAGAATTATCTTCAATGGCATGGCTCCAAACCTCAGCTTGTCATTACAGAAGCTGCAATATGCAAAGACATACTGAACAACAATGATGGGGCTGTTCAAAAAGCAGAGACAATAGGATATTTGAAGAAGCTATTAGGAGATGGCCTCACAAGATCCTCAGGTGAAAAATGGTCCAAGATGAAAAAGCTGGCCAACCATGCCTTCCATGGAGAGAGGTTAAAAGTGAGTTCCTAACGTTACATATTATTGGTGATTCTTTCTTCGAGCATAAAAAATTTAGAGTAGAATTTTCCCATTTTGTTCATCAGAGCATGATCCCAGCAATGATAGCCAGTGGCGAGACCCTAACGTTATATATTATTGGTGATTCTTTCTTCGAGCATAACAAATTTAAAGTAGAATTTTCCGATTTTGTTCATCAGAGCATGATCCCAGCAATGATAGCAAGTGGCGAGACAATGCTTGAGAGGTTGAAAAACCATCAAGGCAGAGAGATTGAAGTTTCCGACGAGTTAAGGTTTTTCACTTCAGAAGTGATTTCCAGAACAGCCTTTGGCAGCAGCTACTTGGAAGGCGAGAACATTTTTGAGATGGTGATGAAGTTAGCCTTCTTGACATTCAAAAATGCTCACAAAATTAGGTTTCCAGGTATCAGGTACGTAACTCAGCCTTGTTATGCATAAAACTACGTTTCCTTCTAAGCTTTGCAGCAAACAACTATTGATCACACAAATGTTCTTTCATTTTCAATGTTGCAGTATGATCTTTAAAACCAGAGATGAGATTGAATCAGCGGAGCTTGAGAAAGGAATACGCAACAGCATAATGGAGGTTATTAAGAAAAGAGAAAAGAAGGCAATGGCTGGAGAAGAAGACGGCTTTGGGAGTGATTTTCTTGGATTGCTTTTAAAGGCTCACCATGATACCAATGAGAAGCAGAGGATTTCAATGGACAATTTGGTCGACGAGTGCAAGACTCTCTACTTGGCTGGACAAGAAACCACTACCAGTTTGCTTGCTTGGACTGTCTTTCTTCTGGCCCTCCATAGAGATTGGCAAGAGGAAGCAAGAAAGGAGGTCCTACAACTATTTGGCAAACAAACTCCAAACCCTGATGGCATTGCCAAACTCAAAACAGTAAGTAAGAAAAATCAAATCAATTATTTGCTTATTGTAAGTTCGAAATGCATGCTGATTATTTATTGTCTAATTTTAACTTTGATGCATGCAATGCAGATTAGTATGATTATCAATGAGTCCCTGAGATTATACTCTCCTATTGTTTCCTTGGAAAGGAAAACTGAGAGGGAAGTTAGACTGGGAAATCTCATAGTCCCTGCTAATGTTGAACTGCTAGTCCCAAACCTAGCATTTCACCATGATCCTAAATTTTGGGGAGAAGACGTGCACCTTTTCAAACCAGAGAGATTCTCAGAAGGGGTTGCTAAAGCTACCGAGGATAACATAGTCGCATTCTTTCCCTTTGGAATGGGACCTCGAAATTGTGTGGGCTTCCATTTTGCAACCATTGAAGCAAAGATTGCTCTGTCAATGATTCTACAAAACTACTCATTCACCCTCTCTCCGGCCTACGTCCACTCCCCGTTTCAATTGCTTACACTTAGGCCACAGCATGGTGTTCGAGTAACGCTACACCCGCTCTGAACTGTGTAGACCACGTGGATATGAGGTTGAATGCGGGGAAACCATGGCTTTGAGTTTCAGTCAAATAATGGTATTGGGTTTGTGAGTTTTATTTATGTACGTAGAGTACTGTTATTGGTACTTCAATGAAGTATTTGAGAGAAATTGACAATAATGGCTCCAATAATAGTTTCGTATTTTTTTCATTTTTATACAAACGATATTAAAGGAAGGAGATTCGAAAATAGGATTTTGGATCGCTCGACGCTCTTAATCACTTCAACTACAAATCCCTTTCATAGCTCTGTATTTATGTACGCAGGGAAGGAGTCCACAAACCTTGAAAGGAATTTTTTTGTGTGCTGCCTGATAAGTCTCTTAGCTTTTGTTATAGTAAGCTGCCTAGCAAATGGAGAGAACTCTACATCGCCTCCTTCGAACTCATTCTCTGCTTCACCCCTCATGGTCCGCAGCAAGAATGCCTTGGCCTTGCGACACTGAGTATTGAAAAGGCCTCCAATGGAAGTGACAAATCCATCACCAGCTCCATCACCAGGACGCTTGAGAAAGGTTATTGGATGCTGGTCAGGTTGTCCTGGCTGACCTTTATTTATCACTAAAATTAAGGTCGCTATCGGGAACACCAGATCCATTGGGTTCCCTCTGACTATTAGCCCTTGTCTTTGAACTTCTTACCTTATAAAAATGGACAGAGAGAATTGAAAACTGGAGTTGAACAGGAAAAATGTAAGTGACATAGTAATTCTTCCGGTAGATCCTAAATCTTCGAAAGGTTTATGAATTCGAACAGAGAAGGCAGCTGCGGAAATAGCCCATAGGGACCAGAAGTTTAATACACAGTCTAGTAAAATGTAAGATAAAGTGGCTATCAGTTCCTTTGTTATAGCCTATAAGAAAATGAATTTTATGGAAGAAAGGAAATGAGTACAGAAAGGAATGGAAAAGTAGTCCATTTAGGGATACCAAATAGAAAACACAAAGCAAAAGAACCATGAAAGCCACACACAGTACAAACTCCCAGTCATGATGAATCACACTACAGGGAAAATCTCAAATCAGTAACTCTAAGAATTTCTCTAGCTATCACTCTCTCAAAAGAAAGATTCCAACGAATCAGTAATCTAATATATAAATGGACACATAGACAAAATAGTGTGGGAAGAGAGAAGAGCACATGAAAAATTCATTTGATTCCATTGAAGAGATTTAAAAAAATACAGTTCAACCCTTCATCATCATAAATGAATATTGATCTAAAGTGTAATTAATTTCTATGAAGTTGGTTTCTGAAACACGAATCCAAAAGAATCTCTAAAAACTATATCTATATGTATTACGTACTAAGAGTTACTCATTGAGACAATAAGTTGATACAAAGAGTTACTCATTGATGAGTAAGAGCAGAGGTCCCAGAAGAAGTTGATCCAAGATGTTGGTGAGGTTCCTCATTTGTGGTGGTGCTATTAAGCTTGACAATCACAAAGCGAAGCTTGGAAACATCACTGACGTGGAATGACCAGTTATTTGCCTTGGCAATCTTGCTGCATCCCCTAAAAGACGGAGAAGGGGAGGAGCGGTTATGTATGTAATTACGGTCTTTGTTGGCCGTTGCTCCGGTCGAGCACTCTGTTTTCTTTGTCCAATTCTGAACATGAACCCCTTCCTCTTTCTTCTTTTTCTGGCTCCCACTCTCAGAACTATTAGGATCAGCAGTACATTCTCTCTTCCTTTTCAGTGTTTTCATGTTAAGAGAAACAGGACCAAGTCTGCTCCTTTTCTTCTTTGGAATGAAAATGTCATTCAACTCAAACCCTTGCTTGTCGGCCAAAACCCTTTGTTCCCTTCCCTTCCGAGCAAAGAAGTTGATCAACTCTTCAACAATGGTCTTTTCGTCCAAAAGCAACTCCTTTGATTGTTGGGTTGCTACATCAGCCAATAGCTCCAAGGAAGACAGAGTTGAAGATGAAGATGAAGATGCTGATTGCCTTTTCTCTGTCTTGATGGCCATGGCCTTTTTCTCAACATCTTCCTCCCAACGTTTCCCAACAACTTCATAAGACTCAAGATTCAGAGAATTTGAAGGAAACCCGTCAACCCCAAAATCAATAACCTTCATTTTGTCCATCACTTCCATTGAAACAAACCCACACACAAACAAATTAAACTCAGAAAAGAGACGAACTTTACTGCTTAGACTGAACAGAATGATCAGAAAAACAAGTGGGTTTCCAAATGTTGAGTGACAGAGAGATCACTCAACTTCCGAATTGAAGAGAACAAGTGAGAGAGAGAGAGAGAGAGAGTTTGCTTTGAATTGCACTGGGTTTCCAAATTATAATAAGAGAAACAAGTGGGGGTTTCCTTATATGGATTGGATTCACTTTGGAGAGAGAGAGAGTGTGTTTCCAAATCGTTCGTGTTGGTGGTGCTATTACCCTTGAAGCCCAAGCAATTAAACCAACTGGCAAAGCGATTCAAATCTTATTAGGATCCTAACTATAAGTTGCTTTTCTGCTCTTGCTCTGTTTCGAGAACGCTTCTTCTCTCACATGTATTCCACGTTTTATTTATTTACTTTACTTTTAATGCCTTCAAAATTTTAGAAAACTTTTAGCCGCGCAGCTATACTATTTAGGAAACAAAATTTACCCGAGTATAGCCGCGCGGCTATACTATTTATAAATAGAAAAAGGACCCGCCTAGCATCTAGTTGCCCATGTGTGAAAACACGTATAGCCGTGCGGCTATACTAATTTAAAAAAACCCAATTATAGCCGTCCGGCTATACTATTTTGAAAAATATGCCCTGGTGTAGCCGATTATTTATAAGGGAAAAAAGGGGACCCGCCTAGCATTAGGTGTCCACCTGTCAAAACACGCATAGCCCGACGGCTATACTATTTATATTTATAAAAAAAACAATTACCGTAGTAAAGCCGAGCGGTTATACCATTTTTTATAAATAAAAAAATACCCAAGTATAGCCGCGCGGCGATACCTTCCTGAAACACATTTCATTCTGTGAGAAATCCTCTTAGAGATCTTGGAGGCAAACCCCCTTCTCAGAGGTAGGTAGATTCTTGCCTTTTGTGGTGGAAATGTGCATGGCTATTTAAGTCCAATTCTGCTAGAGCATTGGAAGGACAACGACCCTGATATGAAGATCTTTGGTCCAACGCCTCCTGGTGTTGCAATCAAAATGAACTACATCCAGCATTTGAAGAGAAGCAAATATTGTATCCATAACTAAAGCAACGATCAAGACCTGGGTGTCGTAATCAGTCGTTTCTTGCCTCCTCTGATACCATACCAAGTCAAAGAGTCCTGACATGGGGAAAGCAGCAGCAAAGCACCCAAGAGGCCGTAGTTGCAGGCTTGCAGCAACCACACCAAGTAAGAAGCATTGAATTTCCATCTATATATTATTGCAGGCCTGGGCGGGTCAGGGCGGCGCTAGGAGGATCTGGGCGGCGCAAGGCGGGTCTAGGCGGCGCTAGGCGGGTCTAGGCGGTGCTAGGCGGCGTTAGGCGGGTCTAGGCGGCGTTAGGCGGGTCTAGGCGGCGTTAGGCGGGTCTGGGTGCCAGGGTGGGTCTGGTTCTTTAGGGTTTAGACTCTGGGTGCCAGGGTGGGTTTGTCGCATTTTTTCCAGGTACGTGTGCCATTTTCTTCGTTGAAGCCGATATTTCGAGCAAGAACTGTATTAGATGCACCACCTTTTGACCCCCACAATATTGTGTCATTGCAGGCACATTTCTGCAGCTACTTTCTTTTAGTCTATTCTTTCACTTCATTTTCTTCTATGTTTATTGATGGGATTCAAAATTATGGCAGCTCATGTCTAGCATACGAGCATATTGTGTCATTGCAGGCACATTTCTGCAGCCACTTTCTTTTAGTCTATTCTTTCACTTCATTTTCTTCTATGTTTATTGATGGGATTCAAAATTATGGCAGCTCATGTCTAGCATACGAGCATATTGTGTCATTGCAGGCACATTTCTGCCTATTACTCCCAGGTTTCACATTCTTTTCATTTTGTTGGATTATCTTCTTATGACTAAACATAATTGATCTGCTAGGTGCACTTTCTGTTTTAGTCTTTAAAGAATCTCTTTGCTTGTGTTCCGTGTAGGTTCGTACACGTAGGTTCTGCAGGAATTACCCGACCTGACAGGCCTGGACTTGATCTAAGTAAATAACCTCCTGCTGTTCGCTTAAACAAGGAATTGGATTTTATCCTGACATTCAAGTTGAAGGTTTCATACTAACTCAGTGCAAGCTGTTTGATATTTTTATATATAATCAATGTATCAAAATACCACTTCTTAGTTCTTTTCTGTTCTTTTTCTTTTTCTGGGTCAGATTTAGCTCTTTTGATTTTCTACATTGATAAGTTTTGGAGCAGGGGGAGGATTTAATACGGGAAAGTGGAATACCATATACAATTGTGAGGCCTTGTGCATTAACTGAGGAGCCTGCCGGAGCAGATCTCATTTTTGACCAAGGAGACAATATAACAATAAATAATCAAATAGAAGATCGCTATTCTCTCTTGTATGCATGTGATGACATGTATTGCTCTTTCTTTCCCTTATAATAGTAATAATATCTGAATGTTATGATTTATAGTATTTATATATATATATATATATATATGCAGGGTAAGATATCAAGAGAGGAGGTTGCTCAGATTTGTGTTGCTGCATTGGAAAGCCCCTATGCATCTGGCAAGAGATTTGTTGTCTAACCCTAAACCCTAATATGTATTTACGATAGGAAATCACTTATGTGGGCATGGTCAACTGGTTCTCCAACATAGTTGACTTCCTAATGCTGCGATAAATTGTACATGTTAAGGTGTGTTCTCACACACAAAGTGGGAAAAATAAAAGTTGAGGTAAAGAGTTAGGATATTAAGTATATTTTCATTTTAAAATAGGAATGATGAGATGAGTAAAACAACATGAATAAAGCACGACTATTCTTAATAGGCTTTTTCCTTATTGACCCAATGAAAGAGAGGAAGATTTGTGATTTTGTCGTGCCTTATTATTCTGACTAGCATGTCTCCGTGAGTATTCATGTGTATGCAAGAGACATTTTCATCTCACACGCTTTTGTGATTTGTAAGTCCATAAATGTACTCATTTATGTACTCTTTATACTTAGGTTTTTTAGGAAAATTTGATTTAAAAATACCTTATTTTCAAATTTTCAAATTTCTGGAGCATTTAATGGTTTTCAATGAAAATACGACTTTTTGGTGGAGTTTTTACACAAGGTCATAAAATGGGGGCCCTCCTAAAATTGGAGCCTTGTGAAAGGACACACATTGAGCACCCCCAAAGCCCGTGGGGATGACAAAAATTCCAATTGGGTCCTTAAATGGAAATCTCGAGAATAAGAGGGTAGGTGTCGAATATTTTGTTCTAAATCTGAGTCAGAGATAGGGGTTAGGGCAGGAATGTCATTATGATCAAAATATTAAAGCATGTGTACATATTGGTTAAGTTGAAGCAATGTAATATTAAGTTTTTTGTTTAACCATTCTTTAGTTTAAAAAAAAAATACAAGTGATAATCTAAATAACTTTAAATTAATCTCATCTAAGACGAGGGGGACTCGAATTTGAGTGTAAGGGGGTACTGACTAAAAACTCTTAAAATATGAAAAATATCAATTTATAGAAAGATATGCTTAGTTGATTCCTCTGCCACATTACATACCACACACCAATGAGGGGCTAATAAAGAGAGAAGAGCACAAGAAAAATTCATTTGATTCTGTTGAGATTTAAAAAATATAGTTCAACCCTTCACATCATCATAAAAGAATAGGGTTAAATGGTGATTGGCCCCCTAAACTTTTACTTAACTTTCGATTTACCCCATATCCTTTTTTTTAAAATTAAGGATATGAACTTCTTTTTTCGCCAATTTCCCTCCTGCCATCTAAATCTGCAACATTTTATCTAATTTGCCATTAAATATAAGGGCAAAATGATCATTTCATCCAAGGTGCAGGCTGGGTTCCGTGGGTGAGGGGCAAGAGCTGGGATCTGTTGCCGCCGCTTAGAGAGGAGGGGAGAGATGGGTCTGGGTATGAAGGCAAGGGTTGGGGGATGGAATGTGTCTAGGTCTTGAGGGGCAAGGGTTGGGGGATGGGTCTCTGCTGGGGAGAGATAACAAAAAGAATGAGGAGGAAATGAGGGATTTGTGGGTGGGGGATTGATTTGGGGATGGAGGATTGTTTTGAGGGTGGATGGTGATGGTCACATGGGAAATGAGAGCAGAAGAAAACCCAGAGGTGGGGGCTGGGCTCGGGGGTAAAAAAAACAAAAGGAATGAGGTAAGGGCAGGGGTCTAAGGGGTGGGGGATTGGTCTGGGAGTGGAGGGTGGTGGTCATGGGGGAATGGGAGGAGAATAAAAACCTAGAGGAGAGGGGAGTGGGTTGGGTTCAGGGGATGAAAATACAAAAGGGGGAGGTTGGGGGAAGGGTCTTTTTGGGGGGTTGGTCTGGGAGTGGAGGATAGTGGTCATGGGGGAATGAGAGGAGGAAGGGAGGAGATGGAAGGGTTGGCATTAGGTTTACTCTTTTTCTTCAATTTTTTCCAAAAAATAATTTTTTAAAATGATTTAATTGAAAATTGGATGAAATGTTGAGAATTTAGACTGTAGAGGGGAAATTGGAGGAAAAAAAATGTTCATATTCTTACTTTTCTTAAAAAAAGGATAGGGGTGAATCGAAAGCTAGGTACAAATTCAGGGGGCAAATCACCAGTTAATCCTAAAAAAATATTGATCTAAACTGGAATTTCTATGAAGTTGGTTTCCGAAACAAGAAATCAAAAGAATCTCTACAAACTATATCTATATGTATTATGTACTAATAGTTACTCACTGAGACAATAAGTTGATACTCTAGTTTTGCTTACTCATTGATGAGTAAGAGCAGGTAGCAGGAGAAGTTGATCTAAGATGTTGGTAAGGTTCCTCCTTTGTGGTGGTGTTATTAAGCAGTAACTCTCATGGGATCGATCTGATGGCTATAAAAGTAACCCCGCATTATAGCCGCGCCAAGCTTGGTATATTTGACATAAACCTTACCCGGCCCGGCTTGATAACTCTTTAAGGCTGAAAAGGCTCGTTACTAAGCCTGGCCCGTTTTACAAGCCTAATAACAATAGAACAATCAGAGTGAGCCGTCGTTTAAAATCAGAGCGAGATTCTTAAAAGACTTATTTACTGTAGTGCCTCCTGAAACTTCGGTCAAATCTGACTTTACTCCCCTACCCCCTTAAAAAAAAAGAAGTTAAAATGGCCACTAAGTGGGCCACTTTAACTTAATGGGGTAAAATAAGATTTGACCGAAGTTTCAGCGGCACTACTGTAAATAAGCCTTCTTAAAATTATTTTTTAATTTCGTGAAACCTAATTGAACTCATCTTCTTTCCAGCCGCCTCCTCTTCACTGTTCTCTCGTCTTCTCTTCTTATCTCGACTCTCTCTCATCGATCCCCTCTCTATGCTCATTATTCACTGTTGTCAAAACGCTTGATTATCCGGCTTGCTTTGCTCTCTCATCACAATATCAGGTATATCTCGTCTTCCGTCTGTATCTGAGTTATGATTTTTTTCTCTGATTTTGCCTATATATGTTTCTTTGGTTTCTGGGTAAAAGTAAGGTCAAATTTTTAATATTTCCATTTTGATAATTATTGATGCCATCTCCATTTGCTATTTGATGTTCCCTCTTGCTAGTTTTTCAGTTTTTTTAGTATTTAAATCCTATTTGCATTTGTTCTCTGTGGTTCAACATGTTATATTCACTGTTGTTTTTTCGGTACTTACAATTTTCTCTTTTATATTCTGAGGGCTCTCTAACACAGGTAAAAGAATTGCCTTTACTGTTTTTTGTATAATATTTGCCTTCATTGTTGTTTATATTCTCATGGATTTTCCGAAGCTTTTTTTGGCTCAAAACTTGCATCTATTGGATGTGGATGTTTTGTATTGGAAGATAAGGAATTTCTCTCTTTTATTTTCTTCCTCTAGTGCGAGACAGACCTCGACCTTCTTCGTTTGCCGCCGTCTCTTCCTCTAGTTGTCAGCTCAACTTCGCAAGCATGGTATTTCTCTATCCAATTCTCTGTTTGTTTCCTGTGAAACTGAAATGAAAATGAAAATGAAAAAGAAAAAGAAAAAGAAAAGTTTGTTTGTTCATGGTTCTGATCTGTTACATTTGGTTTTTTCTATCCTAGATCATCCCAGAGAAGAACAGGAGAGAAATCTCCAAATACCTATTCCAAGGTACACACAAAAAGCTTAGATTTTTATTTATTCTCAATGTAATTTGGTTCATCGTTTCCATTTTTTCGTTAAAATTTCTTGTATTTAATTTGAACAGAGGGAATGTGCTATGCAAAGAAGGACTATAACTTGGTAAAGCACCCAGAAATCGATGTGCCAAATCTGCAGGGGATTAAGCTGATGCAGAGCTTCAAATCCAAGGAATATGTGAGAGGAACTTTTGCTTGGATGCACTACTACTGGTACCTGACCAATGATGGTATTGAGTTTTTGAGGAACTACCTCAACCTTCCATCTGAGATTGTCCCTGCAACTTTGAAGAAGCAGGCCAAGCCTCCTGGCCGCCCCTTGGGCCCATCTGGTGACCGCCCACGGTAATTGATTTGTTTCATTGTCTTTATTGGTTATTGGATCTATTGATTTTTGTAGAGTATGTGGTTCTTTGTTCTAGAGTATGTGATATGGATCATTTAGGAAGAAGTTATTTAACTGATTTGTGTAAGTAAACTGTGACAGATATGTGCTTCCTTTTCTAGTTCGTTTGTTGAACCCCTTGATTGGTTGGAATGTAATGTGGATGTTTTGATGATGTGAACAGCGGCCCACCTCGCTTTGATGGAGGAGAACGCAGATTTGGTGACAGGGATGGGTACCGTTCAGGTCCTCGTGCACCAGGGGGTGATTTTGGTGACAAGGGTGGAGCACCTGCTGACTACAGACCTTCTTTCGGGGTAATATTTCCGTTGTCAAGTAGTTTTTTTTTTATAGTTCTCATTTAGGTACTATTTCTTCTCACCATGTATTGGGTTGGAGATCAATTGCCTTTCGATGATATTCTATTCTTCTTTGCATTTTGGAATTGTATTCTATCTTGATCCTATGTACCTTGTTACTGAGGACTTGACAAACTTATATACTGCCCACTTAAATGTGTTTTATGATTAGAAGATTTCCTCACTTTGGAAAAATGATGCATTTGTTAACTCATTATGCTTCTTTCTCCCGAAATATCAGGGTAGTAGGCCTGGCTTCGGTCGTGGTGCCGGTGGATCTGGTGGAGCTGGTGGTTTTGGTACTGGCCCAGCAAGCTCTGATCTCTCCTGAGGAAATGGTTTACTTAGACACCGTTTGGTTTCCTAAGTTTGCATTTAAGAACGG